AGACAAATTTTAGGCCTATGTATCCTAGCTTTCTGTCTTTATGGGTAGCTTGGGGAACTGGACCTGATACACAGTTCTGGCACTTTTAATCTTCCTTTTACTCACTGCCTATCATATTCTAACCGTAGGCTCCTTCATTGGATTATTTCAAATAGTGTCCTGACTGCATTAAAGGAGAGTACTTGGAAAACTTGACTTAATCACCTATTAAAATCACATTTTATTTTTTCTGTTGGGGTTGCCCCAGGATTCTGTCCTGGCCAGAGTTGTCCCAGCTTCTCATTCAGATGTGTCTTCCTTTGGAGTCTCCTGTGGGCAGCAAAATGTAGACTGGCTCCTGCTATAGTTACCATGCGCCAACTGTGGGCGTAAACATAGGCTCCTGTGGTCTTCTGCTTGCTGTAGATCTGGGGCCCACTCACCTCAGGCTTCAAGGAGGCAGAGGGCCAGGAAATGAACAGTTGACTCTCTGATCCTGCTGCCTTGTTCTTGGCTCTGTTTGTACACCCTAGTGCCTGAATACAGGGCCTGGTTTGGGGGGGTCTGGAGCACCACTGATTCTCACTGTTGACCCTGACCCGAGTGACTGTTGAATTCTGCTACACGACTGGTAAGCCGTCAGTGGGGTTTGCTGCTATTCTGAGGCCCTATATGACATCTTCTCCAGGGAGTTATAACCGTCAGGGAACTAATATCGTTTGCTTCCTGTGAGGTTCCTCTTAACATTCTTCTCAGCCTCTGTCTACTATTCTGTCACCCCACCTCCCACATGCTGACTTTGTGCTTTCATAAATAGCTAGGATCCTTGAACGACTTCTATAGAAGCTTAAAAGTAACATCCTTTTCTTCAAAGCACTTCCATATTATTATTTGATCCTCACAAAACCTCTTTCAGGTATGTAGGTTAGTACATTATCCTGATTTCACCAGTGAGGATAGAGAGACTGTGATTAAGTGGTTTGCCCATCCTCAGGTGCTTGGTTAATGCGCAACTGGTATTAGAACACACTTTGTTTTTGGTTGGTGATTTCATTCATTTTTTGGTTAATTTTCCCCCCATTCATTCATATACTCATACTGAGGGGCAGCAGAATGGAAAGAGCAAGGGTTTTGGAGACAGAAACACTTTGGTTTGAAACTTGATGACATTCCTTATTAGCTATGTGACCTTGGTCATATACTTAGCCTCTCAGAAGATGTTTTCTTATTTGTAATATAAGGTTATGACTTTCATGTAGTGTTCAATCACATATAAACATTATAAATTACCTAGCAATAATAATGTCTGGCATATGGTAGGTTATAGGTAAAATGTTACTGTAAGTATATAATATATAAAATAGGTTATTCTTATAGGTTAAAAAAGGTCAAATATTGACAATTTTATAATGGTAGAAATTCAGTGGCTACTATTTATTGAACCCTTTCCTATTGTATATGAGGCCCTGCTAGACCCCAAAAACACAAATAGAAATGAGACAAGGCCTTCTTTGTGTTTCTGTATCTTTTACTAGGCTGTGGTTATGGAAAGTAGAGCCTGTGTTAGTTACATCATCAACACTAATAACAATGTTTGCTAGGTAGTAGGTGCTCAGTAAATGCTTTCTGAACTGAAAAGGTCCCTGCCCACTGGGAGATTACCAACTAGTTAAGATAAGAACACATATAATCATATAATTATAGTAAACTTCTACAGGTATTTAGGTAGACACATACAGGCTATGGTGAAGTAAAAATGAAACAATGCTCAATTCTACCAGGGGGTGGGTAAAGAGCAGCGGCAAGGAGGGGGCAAAGCTTCACAGAGCAGGTGCATTAAGATTAACCGTGGCCTGTCTGTGGAAGGGAGCAAAACCAATTTGCTTATCTCGGACTACATGCTTTCTCTCAACTAAGCCCCTTCTAATGTGTGAAATTGAGTTTGTATTCAAAGAAGCTTCTTTGTGTGTCTCACAGTCCCTCTGTTACTGGTATCTCCCATAATGTATTGCTTTGTAAAGTGCTTCGCTCTATTCTGAGTATAAAAGAGATGCCCAGGAAAACCAGATTCCATTCTTTGAGTGTCACACTAGGCATTGCATAACAAAGTGTAATATATTGTGTGAGAAGAAATAGAGGAACTCAAGAGATATTTTAAACAGAGTAAATAAAACATCAAAACGGGAGAGTGGAGAGTGCATTAAAGTTAATAAGCTGTCATGGCAGAGTGGACCGCTTTTCAGTGTGAAGGAGTCTGATTTAGTGACTGGCGACTAAATGATTAGAATCCCATCGGAATGAAGTTAGCCGCTGGTCTTGCCAAATTCGAAATCTTTTGGTTCTCCTTGGGAACCAGTCCTTGAAATTGAACAGATTATTATTATTATTTTGCCAGCAGCTCGCTGAGGTGCTGAACCCATTGGTCTTACTCTGACTATTTAGCGCTGCCCCATGGAGTGCCCTATAGAGCGCGCTCTGCTTGAAGCCAGGGGGACTCAGGCCCAGGCCCGCTGCTCCCCTGGGAAAGTCCATCCCCTGGGCTCCCGCGGCTCCTGCAGTCACCCCCGTCTCCGCGCAGACACACGGACCAGAAAACCGGCAGGAGTAAGCTTGGCCGAGGTGTCAACCACTGAGCTACTCGTCTTATTCGCAACAGAGAGACAAGGCGATCGATACAGGTCTCCTCCTTGGCAGCGTGGAGGGATGACTCCAACAGCAAGACTTCCAAGGTGTTTTCTGCCAAGAACTGGATTGGATTTTGTGCTTCTACAGCCACAAAATGTCCCCGGCATCTTACTCCCAAATCATTAATGCCCTTTGCAGTCGCCCTGCTCAGCCCGAACATCCTTCTCGCTCTTTATTCAACAGCATCATTGTTTTCTTTTGTTAGCTACATTCTCGAAGTTTTTAGATCCCTAATATCTTAATGGTTTTTTTTTGGAAACAAGCAGGAGGTATTAGGTGGCAATTTCATCCTTGATTACGCTCTCTCTCTGGAGAAGAATGAGAATTGCTGATTCTGGTTTTGGGTGCAGTTTGTAGAATATTTCCTCGGACTGTAAAGATGCTAAGTTTATGTATTGGCTTGCTGGTATTTATTGACCTTGGGAACATTACTGTTTTAAGCTTCAGTTTCTCCATTTGAAAAATGGGGATAAAATGACTAATTTATAGGGTTCAGTGAGGACCAAAGAGACTCCATATGAGGAAATGCCTAACACAGTACACAGTGCATAATAGAGGTACAATAAATTATTATTTAAAACAAATCAAAACAACAGAAGCAGGACCAGTTCAATTTAAATAAGAGGAGCTCTTGGAAAACATTGAGAAATTACCATGCTTTATATAGAACTGTTTCCTCAGTCTAGTGCATAGTGTAACATTCAGGGGCTTATGTGGAAATAAAAACTAGGAGTTTGTTGCAGGTAAAAGGTGGTGAATTGTATGGAAATATGGAGCCAGTCATTTCAGGGAAGTCACTACTAAAGGATGCCATGGAAAATTTTTCAAAAGTGGCTCTAATATGCCCTGGCCAGGTGGCTCAGTTGGTTGGAACATTGTCCCATGTACCAAAAGATTGCGGGTTCGATTCTCGGTCAGGTCACATACCTAGGTTACGAGTTCAATCCCCAGTCACAGCGAGTACAGGAAGGACTCTCTCTCACCCTTCCTCTCTCTCTTAAAAACAAAACAAAACAAAACAAAAAACAAACAAACAAAAACCCCCACAAAACAAAAAAAACTTATCCTCCAGTGAAGATTAAAAAAAAGTGGTACCCTAGCTGGTTTGGCTCAGTTGTTAGAGTGTTGGCCCATGGACTGAAGGGCCCCGGGTTCAATTCTGGTCAAGGGGGCCCATACCTCAGCTGGAGGCTCAGTCCCCGGCCCCAGTTGGGGCACATGTGGGAGGCAACCAATTGATGTCTCTCTCTCTCACATAGATGGTTCTCTCCCC